ATCCTCTTACCTCACTGGCTTTCTCGGTGACAGCTCCCAGCCTGTATTTGGTGTATTTGAATTCTATCATGGTCTTTCTCCATGTCTCTGCCTGCATTTATTTACAAAAATCAAGTCTGTCTTGTGCTCTTTCTACTCTGTGCCCAAAGCAAACCCAGTTCAGGATCTGGAGCACTTGTTCATTTAGTACAACCATTCAAAATGATTTCAGGGCTATTCCTCATGAAGGCTTGCATGAACTGTAGAACACTTCATTGTTGCGGCAGTTACTTTCTGTGATAGGGTGTTCTATGGCATTTCCAAGGCAGACACTGCCAGACCTATAGATAGATTACCATATCTTAGATCACATGTTCCTATATCATTACATCATGTAGATCACGTAATATAATCTTAACTTGCCATCTACCATGATATAGTGAGTCTGAGATCACCCCGGCGAACCACCATTACGCGTTAGACCTCCTGCCTGGCTGAGCATCCGTATAACTGCTCCATGGCCTCGGTGTTGCAGAGGCTCCTGTCCAGGGTAACACGACCCCTTAGCGAAGGGTTACAACGGTACCCCTGTGAGCTGGCGCCTTTGTGGCTGCCTACCTCACTTCTACTACGGCTACTACCCACAGTGAAGCCTTCCGAACTACGATGTGCGTCTCCCGACCCGTGCCGCATCACACTTTCTCCCTATCTATGGCAGTCAAAGTGCACCCTACACTAACCTGCACGGCCGTGGACCCATTGGTAGGCTGCTCCACCCATACCTTCAATTGACCTATTGGTACCTTTTAGCTTAATGCAGATAAAGTTAAACAAAATTGCTTTGAGTAACTTCAAATTACCTCAAATTACTTCAAGTAACTTCCAGTAACTTGCCCCGCCAAGTTAGGTCAATGTGACAGAAAAAGTAACTTGGGCCATCAATCCAAGTTACTGAAGTTACTTTTGCTTACTTTACTTACTTGCCTGCCCCAAGTAAAGTAAAGTTAGTTTTATAAAGCTAAGTTAGTTTTTCCAAGTAACTTTGTTAACCATCCGCGTTTTCCTTTCGCACTTGGCGCAGGCACAGACCACTTTTGCAAGCCAAAAATGGCACTCTCACATGCAGGGCCTTCTTGGTTATTCCCTCCGAGCCTATATACGTCGTTCAAAACTTTGTTCTTTGTTTGCTGCTACTAATTTTGCCACAGTGCGTACGAAGACCCCACCCGACTCAGTTCTCATTGATGCACCCATCTCCGGCTGCAGCATCGCGCAAGTCAGCGATGAACGAACAAATTTGGGCCGTCGCAACAACGTACCGCCGGCGATGACGTTGAACGGCGCGCTTGTAACGGTGTGCAGGCCGTTGGCCTCGTCATCCGTGACCTCGAGGATGAGAGATTGCCCTGGAGGCATCCAGCTGTTAGTCGAGCATCCACAGACTGTATTATAGTTCCAAACCAAGGGTGACATTGACGATCCAGGTGAGACTGTTGCCGGTAACCAGCCCGAAGTCAACGAGGGGCACCGGCTGGATGGGGTTGGTTTGAACGCTGGTGAACGAGCATGGTTAGCGTGGGGAATCTCGTGCAGCACGCGTGCATACGCCTGAGAACAAGAGGAACTTGAGTTAATCGCGATCCCGGGGACGATTCAGGAAGTGACTTACGACAACGTAAGGGGCTGGCAATCCGAACGTTAAATAAGTACTTGAGGAATCCGCACAACGAGCGAAGAAGTAGACGCACGGATTCCACCAGACCAAGTGATCAGCAAGGGTTCGCACTGAGCTGTGGACGTATTTAGTGGTGCCAGAAGAGAGGCGACTGAGCATGAACGTACCTGCACCGCCAGCGCTGCGCGGGAAGCGTTAATTACGGGAGCAAGAGGATGGAGAAGGGAGACGGCGCACGGGGTGTTGATTTCCAGCGGCGCACGAGACGTAACAGCGGCGCTGGTACCGAGAGCTGCTGCGAGGAGGAGGAAGAAAGACTGCATATCTGATGGGCGGATGAGCATCCCTGGCCCCGCACGATGGTATTTATACCAATCGCTGGGGACTTGAAACACAGGTTTGACTGGTGCGGTCCGCTTCACGTTGGCTCCCGCTTGTGAAATGATCTCGCTGAATTGTTGCTGCATTCAAATGCCATAATTAGTGCCAGGAGAAACATCGCTAAGACAATAACCGCGGGCGCTATTAATAAAACCCGCAGATTCAAATCATGAGCGCGGAGGACTCTGGAGGAATTGCTGTAAACGACGGGTCAACCAAGTACAATAACTTGGAACATCATCACATTCACGGGCAGCACGTTCTTTAACCGGGAATTTCGACGCGACATGGAATCTCGACCCTGCATGCCTGCGGAAGAAGCATGAGTATTTGACACCGTTGTCACCAACGCTTGGAAATATCAGTGATTTTGGAGCGCTTGCCTACCGCTGCATACAACAGAGCGGCGTGTTCAGACCGAGGTGACTCAGGTGAGGAACTTTTGAATTGACGCGGATTTTCGAATGGCTGTTCACGTATTCAAGCGGCGTCATGTTTTCCTCCATGACCCGTCCCGACGAACGGGTAGAAGAATCGAAATTCAAGAAGCAGTGCCAATCCATCACCGCAAGTCCTCCATGGTGTTCATTTTTGACTCGTACTTCGCTCTGTTTAGCTGAATCTGTGAATGTACACAATGAGAAAAAAACTATTGCTTTTCGTGTACTGAATCGAACAGGTGTTCCGCGTTTCGCCACCTTACGGACACGTGCCAGCGCTACTTGGCTCTTTTTCTCCTTGGTGTGTTCCGCCCGTCGCGGAGATGAACAAATCATGATACAACACCTCACAGATGCGTATCCGCCCTTGTTAAGTACAGTGCACAATAGTGTCCATCATCTTCATTCACGGCGTTTGAGAGCGCACAACAAAAAAACCCATCGCGAACCATGGCCCAGCCCGAATCGAACAGGTACTTCACTTTAGTTTTTGGAGCTTTTCGCACGTCGACGTCGCGGATGCGCACCAGCACCACTGAGCCTCGTTTGTACTTTGTGAACCACGATCTGAGCCCCTAACTCGCGGCGGGAGCCGAATTGAAACGCCGCCGTCAGATTATGCAGTGCCAAACAACACGCCTTTCCACTCGGATGGATTCAGGCCCCGAGCAAGATGGGCGCCTGCCCGCGCCTCCACCGCCACCTCCACGCTCACCGTGTACCACACGCCGAGCAGCTCCGTCGGCGCCAGCGAGCACTGGCACAGCGCCGAGTCGTCGTTTCGCGAATCCGGGTGTGTGGCGCAGGCGCATGCGCACAGGCATGGGCACTCGGAGTCGGCGCCGGACTTGCGTGCGGCGGCTGAGAGTCTGTCCCGCCACGCGGTCCGAACCGGCAGCGGCGAACGCACACGCGACGCACGCGGGCCTCGGGAAGGGCCTACCCACCACCGCCCTCCGCGCGGGCACGGAAGATTTGCGGAGCGTCTCGGACCCGACGATCACGCCCGCCAGCGTGCGCATATCCGCGGCGAGCTCGGCCGCCTCTTCCACCGACCGCCTCCACGCCGCGTCCGAGGCCGACTCGCCGTATGCAGCACAAGCAAACGGGTTCGGGTGGTGGGGCAGCGTGCGCACTGGCGTGCGCAGTGCGCACGGGTGGGGGAGTGCGAAGGCCGCGTCGACGTCGGTGCTGGTCGACGCGGGTGCGGGTGCGGACGGCAATAGGAGGTCCCTTCCGCCGCTCGATACCTGTGCTGGGGAAGGGGCGGGCGACGCAGGGCCCTCGAGCAGCGCGCTCTCCCCCCTGCCATACCCGCAGCACTTCCCGTGGGGCGCGCGGGTGCTGGGGAGTTTCCGGGCCGCCGCGTTGTCTCGGTCTGGCTCGAACGTGACAGGTGATGAACCTGATAATCGGGCCAGCGGCGCGTGGGGGAGCTTCCCCAAACTGCGGCGCCGAAGTCGACCACGACGGTGGCGGGGCGGAGTGTTGAGAGTTTAAGGTTAGGTGAGTGTGCGGCGGATCTGGCGTCCCCGGTGGAGGCGGTGTTCCCTGCGCGCGCCAACGGTGTTGTCCCCGACGGAACGCCGGATCCCAACGCGAGTGCGAGTGCGAGTGCGAGTACGAGTGCGAGGGACCAGTGCGAGGACGAGGACGAGTCGCTCCACGGTGAACAGCGGCTCTACCTCTACTTCTGCCCCCTCTAACCTTAACGAGCCGAAATGGCTCGCCGAGCCCGACATCCCGTCCTCCGCCGTCGGCGCCGCGCACTTCCGCGTCTCCGCGCGCACGGGCGAGGGCGTGCAGGACGTGTTTGGGTGGGTCGTGCGGCGGCTGGTGGAGCCGGTTCGGAATCTTAGCGCGACTGAAAATGAAGAGGGGCTGGGGGACGAGGAAGAAGGTGGGATGGGGGTGGGGCGGAACTCGTGGGCGGGGCGGGAGGGGTGGAAGAGTTCGCATTCGCATTTTCGGGCGAAGGGCGGAAGGGGACGGGGGTGGGGCGGCGTGAGTCTCGCTGGGGCGAGCGGTGGCGGTGGGCCGGAGGCGCGGTTGCGGGGCGTGGGCGGCAAGGGGGGGGGAGGTGCTGCTGATATACCAGGTTGGGTGGTGGGTGGATTTGTGGGTCGAACGTGGAAGGAATTTAATCGCGGGTTTATTTACTTACTTATGGATATGTTTATACCGGGAGGAATGCAATATATATATACGACGTTCAAACTTCTGCTCTTCTCATCTCTTCTCAACTTTCCCCAGCTTTGAGACGCGTGTGGGCGATTCAACCGCGGCCGAAAACAACCCAGTTTGAGCGGCCGCAGTACGCCCCAAATAATCGGGCGTGGTGTTGGACACCGCGGGCATCCTTTGGAGGAGTGGAGAAAAGGTAGAGCCGAACGGGCTTCGATTCCCCGCGTCCGAATAGGCTGGGCACTGAGTGATTCTTTTGTCCTTTTCACGCAAGCGCAGATACATCTGAGCTGGCTGGATTTTTGTGGCTGGATCACAGACTTCTGAACCCGCCAAATAACTCGGGCGTGGTGTTGGACACCACGGGCGTTCTGTATCTGATCACGAGAAATTCATTAGGCCCGCATACGGGGTTCGATTCCCCGCGTCCGAATGTGGAGTATACCCACCAGGCTTTTTGGGCTGGCCGCCGCGCAGATGGAAATGAGCTGGATAACGTGGTCTGAGCCCATGAAATGACTCGGGCGTGGTGTTAGACGAGACCCTGCGGGCGTTCTGTGTGTTGTGCGAAATGCATAGGCCCGAAAATGGGGTTCGATCCCCCGCGTCCGAATGTCATTGAGAAGGTCCGGTTTTTTGGACGCTTGGGGTTCCACGCACGCATGCCATGCCCAAATGGTTGAGCTGGACTTTCGTAGCTGGATCACGGAGTTCTGGGCGGAGTGGTGGAATCGGGTGTGGTGTTGGACACCGCGGGCATTCTGTGTTGATGACCAAACGAGTGTGATACGCCGCAGACGGGGTTCGATTCTTTGTGTCCGAATGTGGTACGAATGGCATTCAGCTTTTTGGCCTCTATACAGGTGGACCGACCTCCCTGGATCACGTATGTAGGTATGAACGTAGCCGAGGACTCGGGTGTGGTGTTGGACACCTCGGGCGTTCTGTGTTTAGTGATGGCAAGTGCAACAGGCCCGCAGACGGGGTTCGATTCCCCGCGTCCGAATATTACTATGAATGACGTTGAACTTTTGCCTCCATGCAGGTGAACGAGAGTGAATAAAGTAACTTTTGGAAAACCTAACTTTAACTTTGATCGCCCCCTTTGACTTGGCGGGGCCAACTTTACGGTACTTTACGGTACTTTACGGGCGATCAGCCAAGTAACTTGCCATCAGATGGCATCATTTACCGCCAAGTTCACCTGTTCATGCATGTCTCTTCGCTGTTTGCATTCCCGCGGATTCCATAAATGCAGCCCCTTGCGGAATGTACTATTGAAGCGCTGTAAGAATTTTCTCGTTGACCAGACCTTTATTTTGCTCGGGAGGTAAAGCGCGCTGGGCATTCAAATATGAGTTTTATGATTGTGTTTTGCGACCCAGCGAACGGGCATTTACATTCCGATTGTGGTACGTTTCTCTTTGAAACAATTATATTTCAGTTTCATTGCAGCCCTGGTCAATACTTAGTCTCAAATTGTCCCCTGAGGCTGGACTCAGCTTAGTATCGTTCTGTGCAGGCACTGAATCGGGATTGATTTTGGTACGTCTATGTACTGGAGACAAATATGGAAACAACAAAGTCCATATCAGTGTACTACGGCACGGCTTTGATTTTATAACGTCAAATTCAAAGCTTGTAAGTTGGGATGCACACCGTCCTGTCTACGGCGACGGCTGTAAACTGATGGAGCCGCGACAGTTACGGACCGTCACAAACACGGCCGTCTTTCTGGATTTTTGAACCTTTGACGGTACGGGATGGAAAAAAAATGCGGCCGTCACACGTGGAACAAGGGGATGGCAGACCTTGCACCCTGTGGAGCTGGAAAATCATGTTTGTTGTGGTTGAAATTTGTTCCAATGCTGGGTATGCTCTCTTGAATATTATTCGCTATTACCTATTTCAGTCTCACAGGCTTGGACGGCATTTTCATGCCAGTTTGAGTGATGTGCTGACATCACATGAGGTGTTGAAACTGGAAGAGAATTCCTGTAAGTACGTCGCTCTGGGTAAGAAAATTTAATTCCCCCTCATGCAAGCACGGCTGAGGAGGGTAAAGGAGGAGTTTCGTGACTGATTGGAACCCAAACTGGACTGTTTCAATATGTTGGCAGGGAAAGCCCGTCCACGGCTGTCAAAGTTGAACCTTGACGAGATGGACATGAGATGGACGGTATTTTTGCTGTCCCGTACCTGCCCTCGTATATTTCTAGTGCAAAGGTTGGCGACGGGACGGGGCCGTCGCCGTTCACGGGCGGCCGTCACAACCGTAAATATGGTGACAGTGTGCAACCTTAGTAGCCTACTCCCCCCATAACTTCAATTGACCTATCGGTACCTTTTGAGCTCAATGCAGATAAAGTTAATCAAATTACTTTTGAGTAACTTCAAATTACTTCAAGTTACTTCAAGTTACTTGTAAGTAACTTGCCCCCGCCAAGTTAGATCAATGGGATCAGACAAAGCAACTTATGCCATCAGATGGCATCAAATCCCGCCAAGTTTGTCAAGCTATGGTCGTAAGGGCATGAATCAACACTTGTTACAACCCCTAGAGTTGTTAACTTACTCTAGCATGCTGGTGCAGTTTCTAACTTAAAGTTACTTCAAGTTACTTACAAGTTACTTAAGTTACTTACAAGTTACTTTTGCTTACTTTACTTTACTTGTCTGCCACAAGTAAAGTAAAGTTAATTTTGTAAGGTTAAGTTAGTTTTTCCAAGTAACTTTGTTAACCATCAGATGAACCGACCTTGATTCCTCATCGCCGGATCATGTAGTTTTGAACTTAAAGATTAACTCGGGCGTGTCGTTGGACACCTCGGGTGTTCTTTGAGGCCGCATAGTACTATAACAAGGGCCCGAAACCGGGGTTCAATTCCCCGCGTCCGAATTATTCAGGGTGAGCAGGTTTTTTCTTCTGTTTCGCGCCAAAATACACCTGAGATGGGCTGGATTTTCGTCGCTGGATCGCATAGTGCCGAACATACAAGGCGTACACCCTTCAGGGCCATAATTGCGGAGTGCCGGCCTTTTTCTGTACGCCTGAGCTAATGCTGAATAAGGTACTTAGTTCTGGACGTACCAAATAACTCGAGTGTTGTGTTGGACACCTCGGGGCGCTTTGTATCGGTGTTGGGAAGGAATACAATAGGCCCGCACACGAGTTCGATTCCCTGCGTCCGAATAATCAATTTACGTTTTTCTTTTCCTTGGCGCAAGCGCAAATAGCTGAGCTGAATTCCCGTCATTGCATCACGGAGTTCTGGATATAAAAAAGAGCTCGGACGTGGTTGGACACCTCGGCATTCTGTGTTGACGACGAAACGAGTGTGATGGGCTCGCAGACGGGGTTCGATTCCCCGCGTCCGAATAAACCAAGCGGTCGACCTTTTATTTTATTTTCGCACCAGCGCAGATACATTTGAGCTGGATTTCACGACGTAGTTCTGAGATTACAGAATTACTCGGGCGTTGGTGTTGGACACCGCGGGCATTCTGTGAAGGGTGAGGAGCCCAATGGGCCCGCAAACGGCGTTCGATTCCCCGCGTCCAAATACGTGGGCCAGAGTGGTTTTTTCCTGGACCTGAGCTGAATTTTCGCGCTAGATCACAAATTTTGGAATCTACCAAACAACTCGGGCGTGGTGTTGGATACCGCGGGATTTTGTGAAGCCAAAGCCACACAATAGGCCCGCACACGGGGTTCGATTCCCCGCGTCCGAATGACCAATTTACGATTGCGCTTTTTCTTTTTCTTTGCCGCAAGCACAGTAGCTGAACGGATTTTCGCGCTGGATCGCAGAGTTCTGGAGGCACAGAATGACTCGGGCGTGGTGTTGGACACTACGGGCGTTCTGTGGGATAGATCGTGAACGTAATACGCCCGCGGAAAGGGTTTGATTCCCCGCGTCCGACTAGGTAAGACGACTTTGATACGTTCTTTTTTGGTTGCAAGCGCAAATATATCTGAACTTGCCTGACTTTTTGCGCTGGATTGCGAAGTTCTGAATTATACACAAATAAATCGGGCGTGGTGTTGGATACCACGGGCGTTGTATGAGGCCAGAACCACGCAATAGGCCCGCACACGGGGTTCGATTCCCCGCGTCCGAATAAACAATTTACGTTTGCGCTTTTTTCTTTTCTTTTGCCGCAAGCACAGTAGCTGAGCTGGATTTTCGCACTGGGTCGCAGAGTTCTGGAGGCACAGAATAACTCGGGCGTGGTGTTGAACTGCGGGCGTTCTGTAGGATAGATCGTGAAAGTAATACGCCCGCAGATGGGGTTTGATTCACCGCATCCGACTAGGTAAGACACTCCGCCAAATTGATTTTTTGGGCTTGAAGACCAAAGATGTTCCTGATATTTTCGGTTCCAGCCACAGTATGATTGCTCCTGAGACTGAGGGTGTTTGCTGTCGTTTTTTGCTGACCAAGACCAGAAGTATGAGGTGCCCTCCCAATGCCCTCCAATTCAGAGCGACTGAGACTGCTGCTGATACTGTCGGATCACCCGGACCGGGGAGGGCCGCCCGGGCCGTCGACTGATACGCTGCCTGATACTGAAAGTATCAGCCGCGGATTTACCAAGTCCGATACTTGTGGTTTCAGTGAGGCAAAAACTACCCTAGAAATGTCTAGTTTACAGAGTGCTTATTCCGTTACCGGATCTTCAAATCTCGGGAACATTTTCAGTGACTTTTGGTTGCAACAAAATTTCCGGAGTGAATCATAGTCTTTTGACATTCTAGTTGTCGTCTTGTACAACGCAAAAAAAAAAAACGGCTGAAAAACGCGACAACACTCTGCGCTGATAACATTTTACAAATCCCGACAACACCATGACAACGCAGGCCCAAAATCCCCACCCACGGCACCCACCCATCAAAAAAAATTAAGCTGAGATATAACCACTATCTTACACCAATACCTCTTTCCATAATTCTTCGACCTCAGGTGTTTGTCACTACCTTTCCATCACACCGAGGCAGAGGCATGCCTTGCCATTTCGGCTCTCTCAGCAGTCCAACAATTCTGAAAGACTTGAATCCTCCATGCGTCCCTGTCGCAGCACAATCCTGATTCCTGCCGTGCCAACATGGACATGGAATATATTAGCATATGCACTGAGCTGGAGCTGGAGCTTTCTCTTGAGCGGCAGGACTCTGACTGACTGCGCGTGCACCGAACTCAGCACTATGCCATTCGGAGTGGTGACACGGCCGTGCCGAGCTTAGGCGGAGATGAGAAGAAGACGTTCAATTTTAAGAAGCAATCCTAGCCCGGGTGTACGAGCGCGCGCCTGAACTGGCTCTAACCGCCGGTCAAGCATTCAACGGCCAGGGGATGTTGTCCATCCGATCAAGGATAGTTCAGGACCGCGGTAGTATTGAGTTGGCTCATTTTAACTGGCGCCAATTTGCAA